TGGCTACTGAAAGAAATGAAAAATTTGTTGGGAGAAATTCCATACGGAATCATTTTGTCAAGCTCAAAAATACTTAAACAAGAGTGGAAGGTTTATTTATGTTGCGTGCGCTCATTAAAAGTAGGCACAGCATGAAACCTAGAAGGTGTGAAAATCTGTAAGTTTCTATGGAGGAATTTTTTATCTTTTTCATTAAATCAGCCTGTTCTTAGAGATTTGAGATTTCTCACCAGAAAATCTGTGTTTGCTTTTTGCATCATCCAACTGATGTTATTTCTGTTCCCCGTCAGCCTTCTCTTCTACAAATTTAGCACACGCTTGGTGTGAGCCACAGACACTTTTCTGAAAACAATCCAGGTGAAGTAGGTTTTGATAAGAGACTTTGATTAATTCTTAGTCCACTTAGCATGCAACTTGTTGGTTTGCAGATGTAATTTATACAGCGTTGGGTGTACCCATCACGCTGCTGAAACAGGAGTTGGCTGAATGGCTCTGGTCTGGCCCCCCCCTCCCCATTTATGCATTGCCTGTACATTTATATATTTTAGATTTTAAGGGCAAATGGGCCAGCTGTGCTTATGGTGACACTGCAATATCTAGAACCTTCATTTCCCTTTCAGAAAAACGTCTCAAAGGCTTGTTCAGGTTAACAGGAGTTTTCACAGAGGACAGATTTCAGGGATTTATTGGGGGGAAGGACACGAATCAATAGATAATAGTAAAAAAATTCAGTGATTGTTTACTGGGTGGATTAGATTTGTTACATATTGCAGTAAACATTTATTAAAATCCTGTTAATTTGCAAGGCAGAAGTGTAAGCTTCTGAAGATGACTGAACCATTAGCATTTTGTGCTTGACCTTCTCTAGCCATGAATTTCAGCTGTAGTTGACTGCTTGGTGGATGTGATCCTGCATTTCAGTCACATTATGCTCCTTTTTTTATTTTTTTTTATTTTTTACATTCTGTAGCTTTTAGTTAGTGACTGTAATTCTTCCAGGTTTCAGGCCATGGGGCGTTTAATGGGCACAAAGCAAAAGTGGCGAGTGATTTTTTTGTGGGTAAACTCCTCCTCTGGGGTTGGCCGTTTCACTTTCCCCGTGCGAGACACACAAGGAGCCTCAGTCGGAAGGTGGGTTTCTCCTGCCAGGACATTTCAGGAGCCCCGGTGAATACGGCGGCAGAATTTTGCAGGGACAAAACCCCACGGCTGCGCCTCCGCGGGCCCCGCTTCTGCTGTGATCCCAGCAGGTTCGAGTGATGTATGCACACAGGAAAAAGAGAGAATGAACAGAAAGTAGCTCGTGTCTTTCCTCAAAGGCACTTTTCTAGCTCAAAAATATAAGCCCTGTGGTTTATACGGTTTTGAAATGTAACCACAGATATTGAGAAATGGAAAAGGTTTGATTTACCGTCTCCTCCAATTTTGGTACCCGATTCAGGGCAGAGGAAATTTATTTTCAGAATGAAAAATGCTGAAAGGAAATACATTAATGCTAAAATTCTTAAACCAGGAACATACTGTTTGGAGAAACTGTCAGATGAAGAAGTCAAGGTCATTTGTGTCTTGATGGAATGGGTGCAGATGTGTCTTTTTGAGATCTCCACCAGAGTGCTGTAACCTTGTTTCGGTGCAGCTTTGCTAGATGGTTTATGGTCTGCAATGCTGTTTTTTTTGGGCTGTGGAGGCTCAGTGTCAGACTGAGGACTTGCCCTTCGATCTTGATCTAGGAACTGAGTGGGATCAGCTGCCTGGGGCACGTCTCGGCCTCTCCAGCGTGGTAGACCTGGCCATCCTTGGCTGCTCACAGCTGGGAGCAGGGCGAGCTGATGCCCTCCTCCTCGCCACACCGTTTTTTCTGCGGTTTGACGTGGCCTCGTCCTTGTTTTGTTTGTTTTGCTCATTGCATGACCTGCTTGCTAATAGCAGGATATCGCCTCAGTATGTAGGAGTCCCTGCAGAGCTTTAACTTTTCTTTTAATGTGGATATTCTGGGTGTTGTTGGTGTGGGACATCCAAAGGCAGGTTTTTTGCTGGCCTCTGTGACCTGTCCTTGCTTTTGCAGGCACCGTTCTGTCACCGTTTCACCACCATGTATCTTAGTAGTTGCTGCTTCTTGCTCCTACTGCTGTGGTGGGAGGTCGCTCCAGAATTTTCCCATTCTTGTTCCTCTGATTTGAGCCCAGATGCATTTGTGGTTCAGTTATGACCGTTTGGTTTTCAACTGCTTTGCTTTATTCTTCCCTTCCTTGTATTTCTTCCTCTCTCCCTTTTGTGTGGAGCAGTCGTCTGCTCTCCAGATTTGTTCTGGAGGGCTTATGAAACTCTTCATAAGGTCCAGTCCTTTCTCCTCGGATATCCTGGCATTAGTTTCCTGCTGCTTCTGTGGTTCCTTCTCAGATGTGAATGAGCAGGATCCTATCTGGTGTTCCACTGGGAGCATAACAGTACTGGTACTGCTTCATTGTCCCTGTCGAAGACAGTCATTTTCACTCTTTAGGGTTGCCAGGAGAACCAAGGGGAAACCAGTACCCCAAAGAGGTCCTGCAAGAGGAAGAAAAGAGGAATTTTTCATTTCTTTCAGTAGCCAAAATGGTGTGGACCTTGACATTTGCATCTTCCATGCTAGCTAGAGGGTAGTTAGATACAGTAGCTCAAGATCCAACATGAACTGCAGCGTCTTTCCACGCTGGTGGGACTAGGCAAAAGCATCCCGTTGCTTCGTGCTCTCATTTCTGTTTGGCTCTGTGAGTCTCTGCTTGTCGGTTTTTTATGTTTCATCCTTAGGTGCTTCGAGGGCGTTACCAGGTGAGGAAGGACACAGCACTGTTCTGACGCCAGCGTTTCTGTGTTTTACCTCCTCGTTCAATCCCTGCTCTGGAGAACTGAGTGGAAATTGCCTCTTTCTTACACCCAGACTGGATGGAGAGCAAAACCTTTTGGTCAGCTCATGCCAGATGGGTGGTTGCCCTCCATGTGGTTGGCCTTCTTCTGCCCCAGCGGTTCGGCGCTGGCCTGGCCGCCCAACGCTGGGGCTCGGCAGCACCTCGAGACATTTCACAGAAATATCTCCATCATGGGTGCGTTCACTTCCAGGGCTTGGGCAGGGGGAGGACTGTGTCCCACCTAACCCGTGCTGCACAGTGGCAGGCTGGCAGCATGCTGAGTCGTTTAAAATTGACTGCAGGGATGGTTTTCACGAGTCTCTGCGTTGAAATAACGGTGAGATCAGGTTTCAGTTACAGGGAGGTAAGGTAGGAAAAAGTCACGTAAGGAAAGGGCTGGTTTTGTTGATTGAGGTTTAGAAAGCTTTTTACCAAGTGAAATTATTGGCTGTGTCTGAAGTGGAGCACGGCTTTCCTAACTGCTCTCATTTCCTGAATCATTCTGGCTCGTTCACTGCATTAATTACAGTTCAGATTTACAGTGTATTTGGTTACACACTGGGTTGCATTCTAATTTTTTTTCCTGTGTGTGTATAAATTTCTTTGGGAGCCTGGCCAAGAGGAGAGCGTGTGTGTGCGTGCACACACACACGGGCCGAATTTGACTGTTAGTTGCTAATTTTGAGGGCAGAAGGGATCTGGATTTTCTTCTGTTTTGTCGTAAAAAGAGACTTGTCTTTTTCCAAAGGAGAAGCAGTAGCGGAGAACAGCCAGTGTTTGGAGAGTTCAAGATTTCAGAACAACCAGAGACAAGAGAAAATATTATCTTATGAATTGTAAACGTGGCATTTCTAATTTGGCTGGTGTTTCCCAGGGGTTAGTGGATAATGGGAATACTATCTTTCTCTTGGCTCGACCAGTAATCAGCTTGCTACTTAAATTATTTATAAATGCAGTGCTTCGGAGTTGAGTTGGATGAGGTGGAGCTTTTCACAGCTGAAGTAGCTTTTTGTGACCTAAAATATGAAGTGAGATGGGATATTAAGAAATCTAGTATTTATTTGGGAACTGTAGAACACAGAAGGTGATTGAAAGGATGTTTCCTTTTCAGTTTTTCTTTTGGCTTTATCAAAACGTAAGAGGAAGTGCACTGAATGTATAAGGAGTATTTCTGGAGAACTCATTCAGATTTTTAAATCAGTTCTTCACATTCGAATTGTTGATGCAGTAGATTTTCTTTTAGAATATTCTGAGTCACGGTTTCGTAAGTAAATGATTGTGAATTAAGTAGAACCAGATATCAAAAATGTTACTGCTTTTAAAATGAAATGTTCCTAAACATTTGGTTCAGAAATACTGGTATGATGAATAATGGTATGATGAGTAATACTGGTGTGATGAATGATGATAGATACAAAATAACAGCTGAATGCAAGTTCTCAAAGAACTAGGTGAAAAGTAAAAGAGAAAAATTCCAAATAACTTTCTTTTGAAAGAATTGGTCACTTTTCCTTTTTTAGCCTTGCCACTAATCACAGCAGCATTTCATCTTTCCTCTTCCTCAAACACCATCTTGCCTGAATCACGACTGGAGGCTGATCTTCCCATAAATTCACCCACTCATCTCTTCCATCTGCAGGTTGCGATGAGGTTCACGCTGTAGAGCCATCTCTTTAAAACTCCCTGTGTTGATAATCCCTTCCAACCTGTGCGAGATGCTTCCTTCCTCTTGTAGGACCACTTTGGTGTCATGTCAGAAAGGGGGAGCGGCGGGGGCGAGTCCGTGCATAGCGGCAGCATGATTTAGTTGTAAATGCACCAGTACAGCTTCCCAGTATTTGAGCCCGTGTGGGTGTTTAGTTAAAGCCGTGCATGGATGATGTCTGTTATTTCGTTAGGATTTCGGAGTGGGGGGATTTTAGCGCTTTAATCCTGACTGACACTTGGAAGGTTGGTGGTTTCAAACACAGTGGCATGGAGTAGCTGATTTCTCTCCAGTGGAACAACGCACCAGTGTGTCTAGGCTGCCCGTGCAGAGCCAATAAATCTGGTTTGTTTTGTTTTTCTCCCCCCTTTTCTCTCTCTCCCCACACCCCCCTCTTCCCCCTCCTCCAGGCCAGGACCCACTCCTCTTGCTGAAAAGCCTTCAGCCTCTCTGGACAAAGAAAGAGATGAAGAAGGTAAGGCTGCGCCTCCCTGCGCGCTGCGGTTCGTCCCTGCGGGCAGAGCCTGGCCAGGCGCAGAGCGCTCGGGTCAGCCCTGCGGTTCTTCACGGCCGCTTTCAGCCCAGCACGCGGGGCAAGAGCCCCTGCGTTTGCAAAGGAAAGGTGGCTGGGTGTGTGCGAAGCAGCTCCGGGGCTCGTGTAAAACAGCTGAAGTTTACAGGACTGACTTACAGAGGGAAACAAACCAAAGTTGCTTTTGTTTTCTTTTAAACACTTTTTCTGTCCGTTAAATGGAGGATCGTAGGGGAGGGGAAAGAATATTTCTAGTAGCTGAAAAACTGAGGGTTGAAGTCAGAAGAAAAGTGCTCTTTGCCAAGTGGAATGATATCAAAGCCTTCATATTCAAAGTATTTTTACTGAATTTTTTTCTGATTTGGTTTGGTTTTGCCTTTTAGAGCGGTGAATGCAATTTACACTGCCAGTCTAAAATTAGGGGTATATTTTTATACTGCACCCTATGGGCTCTACGTGGATATTTCTCACAGGGAGTAAAATATACTTCATCTAAATTTGGGAGCTTGAAAACTAACCAAAACACTGGATGCATCAGCTTAGTGGTGAGTTTCCCATGGTTAGCTCTGCGTTGTTCAGGCAGGTTCATAGCTGAGATGTTTTTTTCTAAAAGACCCAAAACCCTGCAGCTCACCACGCAGGCACGTGGAATGTGTCCTGCATGAAATGGCCGGGGTGGCTGAGTACCTTGGTGTACGTGCTCCATCCCAAGTGTCTGGAGTGTTCAGTCATTGTCCTTGTCTGCCGCACTTAGACCTTCCATCACTGATAGTCTGTGGTTCCCAGCCAGAATAATTAAACAACTGGGAACACAGCGTGAGAGGTCCCTGTCCAAACGGTCAGTCTCCGACGTAGGCTTGAGCTCAGCAACTGGGCAGCTTTGAGCTTTCTATCAAGTTTTGTTAGAGTTGGAGGAAAAAAAATATTATTTGTTAGGTCTTGAGGGCAGTTAATCCCCCAAAACAACAGTAGGAAAGAACACTCATCAAAATCTCTGTACTGTGTACCCCGGGATGTGTGTGGATCGTGAAGAAAAACACTC